GCAACCCATTCGAGAGCCCTTTAAGCTGTTTAATTTATCAAACGGCTTGTATAATGCATACTGCACTTTAAATAGCTGGCCACATTATATTTAACTGGCTATTCATAAGGAAACCTATAGCCTCAAACTAAGGTAAATGCATTGGCAGCAACAGGATTTGACTATTTTTAACAGTGCAATGAACCATTATACTGTTCATGCCGATGTGGATGTTTTGTAACAATTTAACAAGCCATTTACAATAACACGAGCAGTCCTTTAAAATGAAAAGCATTTGCATAAATTTTCTTTTTGAGATGCATCTATGTTCTGAAACCTTTTCTGCCTCCATATATAACCATTACTTTTAAAAAAATGATTGTTAATAAGGATGAGTAAAAATAAAACAATGAATCTAAAAAAATACAGCAGGTACCCACTTTTTGATAAAGCCATACAAAAAAACCCAATCCAGTCCCAGCTAAGCATGATGAGCAGTGTACGTTCTTCCAGAAAAGCCCTGGACCAGCATAATTCTCGTGCTTGACCTGAATAAATTATCTCTTGGGCTAGAAATACAACTCTGTGCAAGCTTCATTCTTCAGTCCAGCCTCCATACTGCAGGTCCTCTGCCAAACCTACATATAAAGGTACCAGTCGTGATGAAGACTTCAATGAGTCCCAACGTCTACACAAGTCCACAACGTCTCTTCCAGTTGGCTTGGGAGGGAAAGCGTTTCCAAACCATAATGACTCCGACTCGCATCTATGACTAAAGTCACTGCAAAACCTGAGGGTCAGCTGTATTGCCGGGTGCTACTTTTAATACTGTCAAGTTATTGCAATATTACAACACACACACATCCTGCAAATTCAAGAGAATAACTACTCAATTGTCACAAGTCCTGAGCGTTGTACATCGCTATTGATCCATGAGGAAAATTCTCGCTGAAACAGAGACAGCTGTTCTCACTCACCAGACATGTAACCTCCTATAATTAACTAATTTCAGACCTCTTAGAATTAGCTGCTAGAAATGCCAACAGCTGAGGCAAACAAGGAGGCCACTCCGATCGGCTACGGGGGCTGCGACAGCTATCCGCACGGCAGCAGAGAGCTAACAAAATAAATTTGAGGTAATTATTTCAGGGACTTGCAGCACAACTCGCATATTAACTCTTTTTAAGAATGCTTTGATGAATTCAATTGAAGTCAATTAATTACATTTCCAAGTCAGATGAATACAAAGTCGAGACACCGCAGGTAGTGCATGTTATTCGATCACTGAATATGTAACAGAGATGATAGGATTTCTGCTCCCAGATTGTTTAGCTGGGTCTTTGAGCAATCAAGTGATGATGTCTGACTGAACACGCTATTGTCGCTGGAACGAATGCAAAATCTCTGAAGCAAAATGCAAGTCAATCTAATTTGCTCATGATTTTTTTTCTAACTACCAAGCTTCAAACTGTTATTTCAAATGGCTTTAAAGCCCTGATATTTAAGTTATGTGGATGTTACTTAGTGACAAAGAAGAAAACTTTATGAGCCAAAAAATAGTCTTCAATCAGAGGGAAAACCATTTTGAATCTACTTCTCGCAACAGAGAATGTGAGAATAATAGGGAAGCTTTAAATCAGTAATTATGAGTTTCTTGAATCCAGTAAAGAGATAAAACCTCAAAAGTAACCTCGAAGTATTACATTTCAGACAGCTGCATTTCTGGGTCATGGCAAAGTGCCATAGAGGAGACATTAAAATTTAGCTTTGTGTAGCAGTGTTAAATAGCACTATAACCAAGATGCAAAAATTGCAATTTGCTTGGCAAACAAACATAAAAGAATTGGGGGAGCATCTGAAATGACAAAAGACCACCCTAGAAAGACAAATATTTAAAAGCAAAAGGGAAATGCAGCCAAAAAAGGCAGAACACATACAATGTTTTAGCAGGAAGAAGTATTGAAGAAAACACTTTCTAGTGACAAAGCAGTTGCCACCTTTATGACTCATTGATTTCAACATGATTCAAGATCATTTACTATCCCAAAAGTGGAAAATTCACATGGGAAGAGTATTGCTACAAGATAAAACTAAGTAATACCCTGGAAAGTATCCAGAGTTCAATGACATATTGACAAAAGGTAAACTGGATAATCTAAAAGGCCTTTTTATATTCAGCTGATAAGAGTTAGTTATTCTGCTATCAGGATAAATTTATTATCAGGACTATAAAATATGAGCAGAACACCAGAGCGAATGGAAAAGAATTCTCACCTGACCAAAATCTTAGCTAAGTATCTCAAATCAAGGAGCTACTCAGGCAAAGATGAGGCTGAAATTGTGGTTGCTCATTTCTTACAAACTAGAATTTCTCAAGTTTCATAAATCCTCTTTATCTCCAGCAAGCCAAATGTGACCAGTGATACAGGAAGATTTCCCAGAATGCTCTTTGACAGCTGCCTCACAAGAGTGCTATGACTAAAAAAGTGCCAACTACTTTCATACAAATTGTAAATGTACTTGAAAAAGCGCAACCAGGATGTACGGTTTTGATTTTTCATTTCAGTATGATGTGGTCCTTCAAATTTTTTTGATTACTTGGGGAAGAGAAAGGAGCCGCGCTTAGAAAATGGATTTTTGGTGAATATTCAAAAAGCATTTTATACATCCTCAGAAGACAGGCATTTACTTCCAGTTTGGCATGAATCAAAACCCATGCATGACTATACCTGCTATTGAGCAAAATTCCCTCAAAACCAATTAAATAGACAGTCCTAATAGACGGTCCTAATGAGCAAGAGGTTCTACGCATGCAAACTTACTGATACGGTTTTCTGGGCTCTGTGAGAAGACACATCAAGCAGACCGGAGGCACAACAGGTCTGACCGAAAGGCTTAAGAAGAGACTCGGCTCCAGATGCAGACTCCTATATCTGGGTGTCTACATGTAGGCCCTCCATGCAAGGTCCAGACCCAAGCTCTCACTTGCAGCCAGTGGAGCTACTCAACTGACCACACGTAGCTCTTCCCTTAAAGACGAAACAGGATCCTCCGTAGGCTCCATTGCTTTTTTAACTCCACTGACCATGTCCACCAGCTTGTGGCCATTCTCAGTGACCACGGAGGGTTGCATTAATTATCCTGGTGCTGACAACGCCTCACTCCTGGCCACTACGTTTCCCTCGATCCCTCATCCTCCCTTTTCCCTCATCACTGGCATCCCCACACATACCGAAGACACACCACTATCACGGTACAGCCGTTCTGCACTTAGAGCAAGCCCAGTGCTTGCCTCAGAGATGTTAAGCGTGTGCAGCCTGGGAGGGACCGTGCTGTGTGGTCCTTTCTCCAAACCAAAGGAACATGAATAGCCTGAGTAACTGTAAAAGGGACACAGCACTGCCGTAAACTCTTCAAAGGGAGGGTTTTATATGTCCATAAAACTTCAAGCTGTTTATTGCCTCGTATCTGGACAGAACTATTTAAACACATGCTCCATCCGCACAGTCATCTCGGTTTCACAACAAAGCATTGCAGAACAGCTTGAGAAAACATATTGTTCAGTTAATTGCATTGGCATGCAGGTGCCCTCACATTTACAAATTAACATCTATCATGGCAAAAGGATGTACAAGGAGAAGCAGGGACTGTGGCACTCAGCCCTGCGACTGCCAAGAGCTATGCTGCCTGATGGAGTGCAGCCCACGAGCTCTGGGCATCCCTTTCCTGCTTCTGTGGGCTACAGAGACTTTGTCATTGCCAAAAAGGCAAAAATTCAGGGGGTCTTAAGGATACCAGGGTGCTTACAGCTTCAGGCAGTCCTTTGCCACTGACTGACTGCCACCAAGGCACCTGAAAAACACCCAGTGGCCTTGAGAATCTCCGCATTAGTTTACTGCATGCTAAAATGAAGAAAATCTATCTCTCTCCAAAGAAAGTCAATGGCAAAGAAACAGCCCAACCACAGTGGGACTTTGAAAGGTATCCAAGCATCTGTATCGGTTGCAGGAGTGTTATACTTCATCAAAGCTGTGCTGCTCAGGAGGAGGCGAATGCAGGAAATGAAACACAAGATTTTATTTGACATGTTCTTACCAAGCATATTGATACGCTACACAAAATATTATGGAAGGAAATTACCTGTGTCAGCAGTAGTATAAATACCTGTCCAATAACCACTCAGACTTTTGATAATGGCCCTGTTAACATAGGGGCAATGAATATATGTTTGTCGCTTAAATACATCACGCAAGTCTATTACAAAACCCCTGAGATTAAACCTGGCACCTATTTCAGCACCGATCAGAGAGAAACAATGGGTTTGAAATTACATGCTTTGAGGCCAGAGAGTTTTCACAAGACAGAATCTGCAGCTTCTTTCCATCTTGCCCACTTAGGAAAACACGGAGCACTTGGCGGTGGCTTGAATCCTCGCATAATTCACAAAGCTGTGAGTATTTTGTGACGTGACAAATTGCTCAGGCATCTCGCTGCCATGCCCTTCTGTCGCTGTTGCCTCAAATCTTCCCTCAAGGTTTTGAGGAGGAGAAATGGTGTCTGTTGCGAAGGGAGAGCTGTCATTCCCTCGGGTCTGGGACCTGTCCAGAGGAGTGCCACCACGCCGGCTTACCAGCAGGTTGTTATGGCAGTTGTACATCACTCACAGAGCTCTCCCCGGCAAATATTCCCTAACCCAGACAGCCCTTACGGCAGCGAGAATACTGGTCCCTTCCCCTGCTGTACTTGTGTGGGTCCCCTCCTGTAGACCAAGTGGGAGGATGAGCGGAATCAACTGTCACAGTAATACCCATGTGTTTTACTAACTGATTTTCTACAGTTCAGGCTCTGTAGAAATACATAAATCTCCGGTTTCAGCCATGCTGGCAGGATCCATTAAGCCTGACTTCCCTCAGAAAATGATTTACTTTCTTAGAAAACAACTATCTAATGAAATGGCTGAAGGACAGAGAAGACCGACGCGTGAGGAACGCTGACACAGAGACAAAAGCGGGGGCACCTACCTGCGGACACTTGCTCCACTGTCCCCAGTCAGACACTGCACACTCACTGGGGCAGTACAAGCTACACTTCTGCATTGTCTCTGGGATTTCAGCCTGGTTGCACAGCGCGTTGGGCACAGCCTCCCCTCCGTGGTCCTCAGCAGCACTCACACACCTACACAGAAGACAGAGGTTTTCGTTAGAGGATCATCAGTGTACTGCAGAAGTGATGAGTATCAACAGGTCCGCTCGACTCCATATAGGAGTCCATACAGGACACTACATGCAACACAATAGCTATATGAAGCACGGATGGTCAAAACGTAGAATTAATCATGTTAATGCAAATCAAAACCAGCTACACGCACGGCATGCTTTCGTAACTCACAGATTTCAATAACTACTTTCAATAAGCATTTCAAACTCCACACGGGGGGATTTTAACTTTGATCAGCTGACGGCTGAGCGAACGGAAAATGACAACCAGCAAGAACAAACCTCGTGCTCCTGCTAGTAACACCCAGACATTTGGAAATAACTCAGCGTTTCCCCGTGTCTGGGGAATGAATACTCACTAATAACAAGCGCCACGCCGGTGCGTGCGGTGCCATTACTTGGGGAAAATGTTAGCAAATCAGAGTATGGAGGCTTTGCACCTCAGGGGGCTTTATGTACATATGGCATTTAGGTTGAAGAATTCTAATTTAAACATCCTGCCTTCTTCCTGAAAGATGTCTTGATCCTAACACAAGGCTGCATCCCTGAGATGCTTTTCCTGTGCACCACCGCAAAAAAATGCATGTTGCTTTTCATTTGAAATACACTGGACTCAGCGGCATACCCATGCTCAGATGGCCAGATATTTCAGCTTTATGCAAGTACGTATCAGCTGGTTTTAATCTGGAATACCTGTGCTTTTGTCTTCACGTACCTGACTTTCCTCGTTTGTATTCCTTCTCCACAGTGGAGGGAATTTTGTTTGCTGTTGATTTTGCACGGAGACCACGGCTCTACTACCCAAGAATACTGATTGCACTCGGTGTAGCATGGGACCGCCTCGTACACCTGCCAGGAGAAAGAATCAAAACTGCTCATTTGAACTATCCAGGTTAGCATCTCTGCGGAAACGCCTCAGCCAAACCCAGGGAAGAGTACACTGAAAAATATCCCGGCTTGTGCTCCTTATGCTGAGGGTGTTGTAATGGCTTTAAGTTCATTTATTCATTATTGACTTGCCAAGGGATTTTTAAGTATATAATAAACAGCAGTATGCACGCAGCATCCTAGGAAACAGGATAAATAACAGCTATTTCCTGCAGCCAGAAGAGGAACTCCATTACAATTTCATTCGCTCAGGCTGCTCTCGCTATAATCTATCACACGTCATGCCCCAGGAACGCATGCGCTGCACCCTTTTGTGTTTCAGAAGGTACAAACTTAAAATCAGCGCTCATTTACCTTTGCTTCTAACATATCCTTGTAAGCCGTTTACCATAAAAGACTGAGATTTCATGTGTCCTATACATTTTATTTTTATGCACAAGAACTATAAATGCTTTTTTCCCTGCAAGTGACTTATTTCTAATGCACATCCTAATCAAACATGACCATGTATTCACCTGAACTGTGGCATCTACATAGAGAGAAAAATACAGCCAAAAGCTTGATAAGCATTTTTAAAAGGTGCTGGATATTCAGGTTGTTAGAAGCAGCACACTGAGATATAGTATTTTAGAGGATTTTTAGGTTTAAACAAATGGATACATCAACAGTTCTATTACAGTAATGAATACAAGTTATTTATTTTCAATCCAGTTTGTCTGCAGAAGCTGATTTGAAGATATAGTGTCCTCAGCTGCTTTGTATGAAGCACAGCACGCTGCCCCGAAAACATACAGCACACCTAAAATTTCTTCAAGCACACCCCAAAATCTCCTTGGCCTTGCTGCAGTGGAGCCGTTTGGTTCTCACCATTAAAATAACTAAATCAATAGCCTCCCTCCCAACCCTCCCCCCCCCAAAAAAATTCAGCCACGTGTTTAATAATTTTCAGCCACGTGTTTAATAATGTATAGCTTTGTTTTAAATTAGCAGATTACGACTACGCATGTTGTGGCCACAATAAAGAAACCTTATTTGCAACATTTTGGAGGTGGGGGGGCAGGGAGATTGAGATACCAGTTAGAAAACAAAACTGGTGCCCATCAGAAAATTACCTTCACATTGAACAAAAAGGAGGTAACTTGCTAAAGAAAACCCCTCAGGAACAGCAAATGTCGGAAACTAATTTTAACAGTGGGTCTTTTATAAACAGTGTGCATAGATTTAGCTGAGAGAAGAAAGAGAGGCTAAAAAGTGCAAAATGAGTGAAGGAGAAAAAAAAAGGGAGAGAGGGCAACAGAAGTTGGGACCGGTGGGGGCAAGCATGGCATGAACCAGGCAGCGCTCCACGTTTCGTGCAGGGGAAGGGAAAGGCAGGGAACGAGGAGGGCAAAGGCAGTAGCACCATCAGTACGGGTTTTCCTACATTAATCTTAAGCACAAATCCTTTTTCACAGTCTGGGCACAACTAACACGAGGGAACGTGCAAAATTCATTTCGACTGCTACGGCCAAGCTGGAAGAGGGGCAGCGACGGCGTTCGGCACGACAAGCTTCTTGCACAAGTGAGCGAGGTCACCCCGCAGCCTTTTGGGGAGCGCAGGCGGTGTGCGATGTTCCCAGCTTTTGCTGGGCCGGCACCAAGGTCTTTAAAAGGTCGCAGCGCACTGCAGTCACTTGAGATGGGCCAATGATTTCCACACGCTGGGACGGTGGTATTTCACCTAAGTACATGATGCATAGGTACCTATGTATTGTATAAAGCCCGTACTGGGGCTAAGTTTCCTAGGCTTAGCAAGCGGCACCAGAAGAGCCCCTAATGAGCTGTGCAGCCCTGCTCGTTAACATTAGCTGATGTACACAGAGCAAAGAGAGCAAGTACCCATGGAGTGGGACCTGTGCTCAGCGCCAGCTCCAGCACCGAGCCCGGCACGACACCACCGTCCTGCCCCGGCCAACCTTGAGAGGGTTACTGACTCCCGCTGCCGTTTCCCTGCGCACGCCAGGAAGAATAACAATAACAATCCCTCCTTAGGCACTGTGAAGCCTTCAGGTTCCCCAGGGACAGCTGGGAGATGGATGTACAGACAGAGAGTATGTATTAGTTTCCCTGCTCCACAGAGGGGAAGAAAAAAAAACAAACCCATGCTCTGGCTATGTTGTCTGACAAAACATAACTGCTGTCTGCAGGAGACGATCAGTTGAAGAGGGAAACGTGTGCTTTAGGCGGGATCAGAGTTTCCCTCATTGCAGAGGGGAGGCAAAACCCAGAGGGGGTGAAGCATCAAACTTCCCAAGAGCTGACTGCCCCCCCCAGCCCAGGGAGGAGACGTCTCCCTGGGCACTGTTAAGGGAGGTAAAACTTATTTATTAGTAAGTTTATTAAGAGCTGGTGGGTGCCCATTCCTGCCCT